GTTTCTTTTCTTTAATTTTAAACTTTTCCAAACCCTTGCTTGCTGCCTTCACCTTCAACTCTTCCAAACCCTTTCTGCAGCACAAGCCTCTCTTCTCTTTTTCTTTTCTTTTTTCTTTTACCTTCTCAAACCCTAGCCGCCTATGGCACAATTCATAGCCTCTGTTTTGTTTGTTTTCCAAGACTTAAAGCCACAATAGGTGGGCTTATTAACCTAATTTCTCAAAGTTACAAAATTACCCATCTAAGTAATAGGAAATATAATGCCATCTCATAACTAATTCTTTGATATTAATAAATGACTCATATAAGTTAATTTAATTACTAATCTATCCAATAAAATAATAATATTTAAAACTTGGGTTTGACAAATCCAATTTCAAACTAGGAAAAAGTTGTTTCCATGAATTATATCCTACTGATTGCCAATGAAAACAACTTTGAATATTTGTAAATTACATCCTGCATATATATGATCATTTCTATAATTTACACTTTTTTTTTTTTTGAGTGTGTATCATATGTGAGTTATATTTTTTATAGTGTGTATAATATGTGAGTTATAATATATGTGGAGTTTGATATAATAAACATCATAACTAAATCACTTTTAGTTATGACTAAAAAAAAATAATGAATTATAACCAAATACCACTCAAGCCATAACTAAAAATATTTTCCTTCATAACCAAAATAATAATGAGAAGCAGTCAATACTAACATCAAATGAGTCATATGGTCATAACCAAATAATAATTGAGGCATAATAAAAAAAATTAATTATTCAATTATAACCAAAATAAAATTACAAAAAGTCATAACTAATATCACACTAAGTTATAATTAAATCATAACCAACATCACAAAAATTAATGATCAAATACTACAAAAATTATAAATTAGACATATTATACACACTTTATTTTTAGAAAGCGTATACGGCAGGGATACCCATTTCACAATAACTCTTCCAATAAAATTCATCAGAGTACTCCTTCCTCCCTATTGACAAAGAATAAATAAATAATTAAAATCATGGTCATTTTGTGTTCCTCGCGGAAATCCAATGTAAACTTGTCTGCAAAATTGACAAGAAATTTTGGAAGTTTTGAGGCAAATCCAAAGTGTTGACGTATATATCATCGATGATTATTGTGACAATTGTAATCATTATTAGGTCAGTTATTTTTATTTTTTTTTTCGTATTGATTGGCCGCGACTTTATACAGTAAAATGTTGGCTTCTTATTTTTGCAATTTTCACAAAGATGTTATAACGACAAACAACATTGGCAAATTCATTCATGAAAGTTGTCTTAAAAAATTAATTCAATTGTTTATGATCATTTCTTAATCCCTAAGTACCCCTTCATTGCCGAAGTGACCTTTTATTGTTTTTTTGGTATCTGGTTAACCAATGTCCTTTAACAATTTTAAAAAATAAATTATACTTTTTGGACTCTTTTAACTTTCAATTAAATTTTTGGATAAATTATACTGTTTGTTCTTGTATTTTAACTGAAGTGTCACTTTAATCTCATGTAGTTTTAATTTAAATACTTTCAGTTTGTTATAATGTGATCTCTCTATTACACACTTTTAACATTTTAAATGAAAAAATATTGCATATTTATAATTATAAGGACCAAAATAAAATTTTAAAAAAAAAACTGTAAATATCACCGACGGTGTAATGAATAAATTTTTGACCACCGATGTAATGAATAAACTATATGAATTCAAACATATCTCTATTTTTAATTTTAAAAAAATTCTTTTAAATTTTGGCTATTTAAATTTAACCAAAAGAAGTTGCATTTATGCCACAAGAACTTAAATATTAACTGATTCAACTTAACTTAAGTGGTTGGACTTTTTGTTTTTGACGGAGAGGATCGGCAAGTTTATTGAGAAATATCCAATGTTGATTGGTAATAATTACACTCATCTCTTTTGAGATTTGAGACACACACACACACACACACACACAAAAAAAAAAAAAAAACATTCTTCAGACTCTTGGACTCTCAAATGTCCAAATGGAAAGTGACAGTAAATCAGTCATTGACTTATGTGTCTCAGAATTGGTTCCTCATTGGGAGTGTCTTGCTTTCATACATGCTATTCGGTCAATGAGCCAAGTTTCTGTTGGGTATACCTCCTTATTGAAGTATGGGACCCAATGGGTTTATTAAAAGAGTTTAATTTGGTTTGGTTTCAAGATAATATATTTTTATATATATATATCATTTAATATTAACCTTTTGAAAATCTTCAATACATATAATAACCATACAATACACACTTTAACTAATATATTTTGGATCTTGCTAGTGGTGGTGTTATGGGTTGTCAATAATAACCATATAATACTAAAATATTTATAATCCCAATGCATATTTCATAAATCCCAAAATATTTTTACATATATATATATTTTATACATTTCAAAACACTATATATTTTCAAGTACTAATTTGTAACATACTAATTTTTAAAATAAATTATAAATACATATCCCATGAGATTTACTTAAAAAACATATTGCTTCATGTTGTTTTGAAAATTATAAATACCCATTTTCATTTAATAAAATTAACAAAAAATATAAAATTGTTAACTACTCTTCTAAATAACAATAAAATTACTTGAATTATTAATTAAAATATTATTTATGATGCAGTTAGAAACTTTAGAGGATAAGAAAATTGCCGATATTTGAGGTAGTAGAAGACAAAAAAGAAATCTAAGTATATAACGGGTAGGAAGAATATTGGGGGTAGCTAGCTATCAAAGCAAAACATGCCCATGAAAATGGCATCAGAAGCTATTTTTTTGACTGAGGCTTATCAGTCTCCTCGGCGATTTAAGGTTCAAATAGTCCCACTAGTGTCTAGAATTGTGACCTTACTTTCCCTCGTTGTTTCATTTGTTCTCATGAGAACTAACAATTACAACATCGCTGACTCCTATGTTTTCAAAACTCACTACCACGATGTGCAAAGCTACAGGTAAATTATTGATATATTAATTTGATATTGTTTGATATATACTCATATATATGGTTATATCGTTGATATCGATATATATCTCTACTCTTATTCAAAATTATGGTTTTGCACACATATAAACACATGTTCTCTCTCTCAATACATATGGCTCTCAATACATATGGAGATTTTACACTTTCGATATTGATATTTACAAACATAACCATTGATATTGTTAAATATTGGTTAATATACGTGCAATTTGGATCAAAGCAAAACACATTGGCAAAGATCCAAAGAACAAGAAGGCCAAAAAAAAAAAGAGTCATTTTCGAATGTGTAAGATCTTTGGTTTGCCTCAATAAAAAATGGGATGTGATTGAGACCCCTTCCAATCACCACCCCTACACACACGTGGCGGGTGGTGATTGGAGGAGAAAGAAAAAAAAGAAAAAAAAAATTGACCAATCACAAAGAGAGGAGGTCAAAGGGGGTGGGGGACAAAGGGGGTCCGGATCATTTTTCATAAAAATTACCAAAAAACAAAAAATTTCCTTATTAAAAAAAGGGGGGTAAATTATATTAGTAATCCTTACATTTTGCTTCTTATGTCATTTTAATCCCTACACTTTAATTGATTCAATTTTGACCATTAATTTTAAATTTTTTGTGTCAAGTCCCTAAAATATGCGTTCTTTTTCATTTTAATCCCTTAATTTTAATTTTGTCATTTTAGTCTTCAAAATTGTCAATTTGAACCAATTTGGTTATAACTCTAATGTACATCTATATTGATAATGGGAACAGTAAAGATAAAAGACAGTTTGAGTACATAAAGTATGCGTTACATATCATTTTAGTCCCTTAAATTTTAAATTTTGTGATGTTGATCCTCAAATTGTCAATTTAGTCATAGCTCCAATCATATTATGTCACATGTCTATTTACCTTGAATATATATATCCTGTTGTACTGCATCACCATGCGCAATATCTTTCTCATTTCTCCTTTTTTTTCTGTTTTTTTTATTTTTATTTTTCCTTAGGTAGTAACTCAAACCTCAAATCATGACTATCATAGGGTGAAGAGATTAATGGGTCGTTTGGGATGAGAATCATAAAAAATATAAAATTTTGTATTGTGTTACTTATATATAATTTATATATATCCATTATGATTTAACAATTTAAATTACTTTAACATCATCAAATGACTAATGATTTAGACGGACGTCAGAGTAGGATAAAATTGACTCAAATTGACAATTGTGATAACTAAATGACAAAAATTGAAACTTAAGAGACTAAAATGACAAGAAATACATACTTTAGGGACTAAAACTGTGTTTTATCTATGTTCACCTTATCAATTTAGACGGACGTTAGAAACAGGACCAAAATTACTCAAATTGACAAATTTGAGGACCAAAATAATATTAAAACTCAAGGGACTAAAATGACAAATAAGGACTAAAATTATCTTTTATCCATTGATAATGTTAGTATTTTTTTATGGAAAATAATGATTGAATTGGTTGAGGTTACTTCACTAAATTTAGTGGGCTTAAAATTTTGTCCCTAAAAATATGACACATGCCACCTATGTGAGTATTTTTCATTAAAAATATTAATAGTTGTAATCAATTGGACTAAATTGAGACAAAATCATAAATTCAGAATAAAAATTGAAACAACTGAAATTATAAGGATTAAATTGATACAAGAAACAAAACACAAGGACTCTCAATATAATTTATTCCCAAAAAAATAAATATAAATTCTAGGAACCCAAAAGATTTTTAAGGGCGTGAAACTGATATGAGTGGATCTCACATTTAGAATCAATTGTTTGTTTTACATCTATTGTTTAAAAATAATTTGTGTACTTAAATTTTCTCAATTATTATTGTATGGCAGATTAGATACTTCTTCAAAAAAATAAATAAAATATGTGTCGTGGATTTTAATTTTGATTAGGATATCATTATTTAAAACCATGTTAATGGCAAGTACATGGTTGGTATCACATTGGTAGGGTTGGCTTACACTTTGTTGCAAACTCCGTTTGCGGTGTACTTTGCGAGAAGAGGGAAACGCCTCATAAACCATACTGGTCTTCTCACTTTTGATTACTATGGAGACAAGGTTACTCATCTTTACACCATTTTCTTTTTTTAAACTTTGTTTTATTAATTTTTAATTTCATTTCTTTCTTTCTATATATATATATGAGAAGTGGTAACATACGCGATGTGTGTGCATAAGATCATTTTGTTTCGGTGAAATAAGATTGTGAAATTTATTCTTGAATATAGATTCTGAAAACTAAAACATTTTATGAATCTCAAAATATCAAAAGTCGATAATTTTAGGGAAAAAAAAAAGAAGAAGTTAAAGTCAGGGCAGAACTGAATAATGATATAGCTGTTATTAAAACTGCTGTTATGGGAATTTTCAAAAAAAAAAATTATATGTGACATTTACGTCAAATCTGGCGTTTATTTTATATACTAGTATAGAAGATAGAAAAATAGATAGATAGGTAAATTACATTGATTTCTTCCAAAGTTTGAAAAAACTACATTTATTTTAAATTGTATAACTCTTTGCCTCACTTGGTCAGAAGATCGGTAATTTATAACCCTACTATTTTATCTAATATATTTCTAGTCTTTGTTATACTAATTGTGTGAGTAATTTTCTTACCACACTGCCCGCCTAGTAATCAGCTGGAGAACACCGGCAGAATAGATGGCTCCAGTAACCTGTAACAAAAAGAAAGGGCTCCGGCGGTGGCTCCTCCACCCGGGGGCACTCCGACGATCAAGTCAGTATATCTCTCAAAGATAATCAAGTGCTAAACTCACAAGCTTGAATATAAAATTGCGTACCTTAGACCCATGGGGGTGCCTCTCTTTTATAGTTAACTCAATCCAAGTCCTGCTAGAAGCATGACTTCTATAGACTTCAATTTAGTGATTACTTAGGATTTCTCAAGAGATAAAGATAAACTCCCTAAGAGCTTTTATCCTTATCTTGGCTAAGTCTCCTCTTTGTCCTAGGACTCTGGTCCCTTATCCGCTTATCTCGGATTCCGATATCTTCGGAGATAACCTCGGCAACTCCGAGATCACCTCGGTGTAATTTCCATGACACGTGGTACCTCGGCCAAACACGTCGGCATCGTCATGCCACGTGTTGGTACCCAAGAAATATATCCCCACAACTGCCCCCTAGGTTCTATTACCTCGGCATCCTGCGGTGATGGAACCTACATCGATATTTCTTTCTGCATAATGGCTCAAAAAACTGTTTTGCCGAAACATTTTATTTTTAAGCCGATGTGTTCTCTTCGGAGAATAAGAATTCAAATGTACTCTATCACGCGCATGAGCTGTCATGCATATCTAACCGTTCCTTTCACGTGCTTTGTCTCTATTGGCTCGTGTCTGTGATGCGCCTACAAGCTGTCTTTTATTCGTCTGCGCCGTCTGACGCATCCGGTGCTCCAGGAGCAATAAATGCCCTGTTTTGCCGCCGTTTTTAAGTTTTTTACAAACCTTTCCTTTCCCTTTTCTTTTCTTCACTTTTTGCATTCTGATTTCTCGTTTTCTCTCTCTCTAAAAGCTCTAGCATTCTTCGAATCCGCTATTGTTCTAAGTCCCAATTTCTGCAACCGTCTTAATTCTTTCATCCCTGCGAAGCTTTTGCCACTATTTGATCTGTCGTCTGATCTCGGCGAATATTGCTCCGGCTTCACTTTATCTGGTAAGCAACTGGCCCCTCCTTTAATCCCTTTTATTCAGTTCTTGATTAGTTCTTGGAGTTTTTCCACTATTATTGTTCTGTTTAAGTGTTATTCGTGAATTATTCACCTGAATGCGTCTTATTTCTTGATTTAATGAACACTTGTACTGTTTCACTACTGTTCTTGGCCCTTAACCCTTTGTATTCTTCGTGTTCTTGATCGCCCATCCCTGTTCTTGTCTCTGAAACTTCGCTTTTGTTTTTTGTTTTTTTTTGTTTTTGTTTTTGTACCAAATATGTGCCCCCGATCTTTATCTTTATAACTTTAGGTTTGGGGATTTGTCTGTAGAACCTTCAATCTTTAGGAAAAACTGAAACAAACTTTACCAGCCCTTTCCCAGGTTTTGAAACCGAGGTTCTAGCAACCCTCTTAAAACACCTATTTTCGGAAACACAGCTTTTTTGAACTTAGGCCGACGTTATGGGTATGTGGAGACATCGGGTAAATACCCCAACAAAACTTGAATACTTTAGGCAGGAGTTCTCCATTCCAGCCGATGTTCACCTTAGGTTAGCTGGGGATGATGATTCCATCATGCCCACAGATCATACGATGCCCTTTCCGATTGTAGCTTTTACTGAATGTGGACTCCGGCTTCCACTAAATCCCCTCTTTCGCGAGGTTCTCCACTACTATAGGTTGAACCCTATGCAACTTACCATCAACTCTTATCGAGTGATTAACGGTATCATAGCCTTGGCCAGGCAAGAGAATGTTAGGATCACCCTTTCCGATATCCAATTTTGTTATACCATGTGCCCCCTTAACCTGAAGGAAAGAGGTTATGTCTACTACCTCAAGCCGAGGTCCACCGAGTTCAAAATTGTAGCCGACCTCCCGGATTCCAACAAGGGAGCCGGGGATGATTTTGTTATTGCTTCGGGAAATTGGGAATTTGGCCCAGACGAAGATGTTCACCTCTACCCTCTTCCTCGAACAGTTAAAGAGGGCAAGGGTAAGAGCCCAGCACCAATACTTAGTTGTTTCTTTTCCAAAAAACTCTGTCTGCTTCTAATGTTGGTTTTGTTTGTCTTGCAGATCTTCATCAGCCACCCAAAAACTTTCGTCAATCCTTCTTCCCTAGAAAAGACTTAAAGAAGCTTCTAGAACTTCCATTTCAAAAGCGCAAGGCTCCCCTGTTACTAAACTTTATTCCGACATACAAATCCACATTGCCCGACGTCCCAAAGAAAAAGAAGAAGAGCCTTTCTCCACCTACCACTACAACTTTAACCGTTTCTACATCCCGAACAGATCAAGAGTCCACGTCTGACCCTATCAATCAACCATCCACTTCGGCCCCATTCTTGATCCCGATACCAGAAAGAAAACGCCGGCGATGCCTTGTCAAAACTGCCGAAATGGGTCGTGCAAAGCCAATTGCCCAAAATCTCCTTGCCCACCTTCCGACTGATGTTGATGCTGTACCATCCCAACCAATGCCCCCACCGAAGCCAAAAAGAATCAAGAAGGCCCAGCCTAAGGCCAGGGCTGTTGAGGCTGAAGATAGTTTGCCTATCTCAAAACTGGCTGAGAGTAAGAAGACTTCTTCTGCTCCTGCGAAAAGGTCTGCCGAGACCCAGCCCTCCGAGTCTACCCAATCAAAGAAGTCGAGGTCCTCCTCTGCAACGACTTCAAAATCCAAGGTGCCAAACGTCCCTTGGACGCCCGAGATTACCCTGGAGGACAAGCCGGTCATGGCTACTGACAGCGCCGACGACATCAATGTCGGCGTTGCCCTTAGTACAGTTCTTCTTCTCCCAGGTGATCTGGAAAAGAATGCTGGAATGAGTGAGTATGAAAATTATGCTTTCATGCTTCAACACTGTGTTCAAGTAAGTGCCTTCACTTGGTGACCTGTCTTTTCCTTTTTTGTTTATAAAACTTTTGTAATAATTCCTTACTTTTGTGTTCTTTCAGGCTGTTCAGTGTGCCCACTCGTTTTCCATGCAATCTTTTTGAGAACAGGGAGAAGTTATCTGACTTGCAGAAGGAGTTTTCTGCACTCCAGAAGATCAACAAAGGGTCTTCAAGAAAAAATGAAGAAATTGGAAGACCAGGCCGAGGCTGCCACTAAAGCCCAAACTTTGGCTGAAGAAAAGGCCGAGGCTGCTGAAGCTATAAAGAAAGTTGCCGAAGCGCAGAAAAATGAAGCCGAGGACAAGGCCACCCAAGCCGAGAAGGAGCTTCAGGAGGCCTTGGCCACAAAAAAGGCTGAAATCAAAGAAGCTGATGAAAAGGCTTATGCGCAGGGCATGGCCGACGTCGCTGAGGAGTACAAGCTTCAAGTCAGGGAAGCATGCAACAGGGGATTTTCCCTTGGTTAGATGTCTCTGTTAAAAAGACTTGACCTCCCTGCTGACTCGCCTTTCCGTAATGTCGATGATATTCCTCTCCCATTTCCACCAAGCCAAGCCGAAGAAGAATCTGGGTCGGAGCCTGAAGATGGAGATGATCAGAATGCTGAGGCTTTGGTGAAGAAACCCAAGGGTGATGCTGGGGTCAAGTCTCCTTCTCAAGTTGAGCCCATCTTGGACTTAACTTTGGATGAAGAGGGTGATGAGGTCGGGGAGGCCCCTAAGGAAGCTGTTACAGGGGTATTATCGTCTGACCTCCTATTAGCTGAAAGGAGTCTTGACAAAACGCTGGCAGAGATTGATGCCGAGCTGGCAGCAGAGAAGGCTGCTGAAGTAGTTCCACAGGAATCGGCCGAGGTCCAAATTCAAATTGCTCCTGATGCTGAAGAATCCTAACTCCCATGTTTTTTGTACTTTTTTGTTTGTTTGGCAATATAAGTTTCTTTGTATGGTCGATGTGCCCTTTTATGAACAGTTTTTCTTATGGATGCTTCAATCTTTTAATGTCTTTTTGACTTGCTTCTGCATGGTTGTATGCCTTCTATATTTTGCCACCTTTGTGCAATCTCTTTGGGGTTATATACCTCGGGTATAATAACATCAAACTTTATTTCGGCAAGATCCAGTCTTGAAAATCTTTTGAAAAAATTCCAATAAGTGTTTAACATATATAATTCAATGTTAACTGTAAGTTTCTTAACAAGTATGTAAACAGTAATTTCGGTCTAACCTACTTGTAAATTTCTGCGAATTTCAACAAGTGTTTAATATACTAAGCTTTTACCTCAACCTGTAAATTGCTGCAAATTTCAACAGATGATCACATGTCGGCTTAACATTATCTTGTAAATTGCTACAAATTTCAACAAGTGTTAAGCATCTTCTTTGGTTGGATCATCCTGTAGATTGCTATAAGTGTGCAAACTATAACCTCGTCTTTACTTCATCTTGTAAATTGCTACAAATTTCAACAAGTGAAG